GAATTTGGCATAATTATTGGGAACTTGATATTCGTTCACGAAGTAACTTATTAAACAAACTCACGGCCAAGAAAATACTATATTTTCTTGCAGAATGTAATCTTGACCGTGTACTGTAATATGTGGAGATCACAATGGATCAGCAATGGTCGCAGTGATACTGGGCTGCATAAACCCAAGATAATCCGCAACTCAAAACAATACAATACAACCTTTTAAACAAATGTATTCAAATAACTGGCATAAAAAACGCAGAGTGAGTGAAACTGGCAGTACAGAAATGATGAAAAAGGAATCAAGATTCTTTTATTTTTTTTTAATAATGATAATGAATTGCTTGTTTGCCGAAAATTTTTTTCGATACTAGGCTATAAAACAGACGGCGTCATTATGGAAATAAGTAATGCTATAAAAAAGGTAATATGTATGGTGGAGTATTAAAAATTAAATTATAAACCAGCCGTGAGTCATTATCGAAGACAAAATGCCCCAAATGTAATATATTTACTGCGCAATTTGACACAGAACCAAATGCATACCGATTTTAAAATATAAATCCAGATATTCGCTGTAGTGTTAGTTTATCGTCAAACAATTAAAAGTCTTAATATTTTATTTAATATGCCAAAAGGCGATAGATGTGCGGATTGTTCATTTTATGAAGAAGAAATTAAGAGACATACAGATAAAGGTACCGAAGTTCCAGAAGATATTTCGAGTAAACAAAAAGAAAATCACGAAAAAGTTAAGTTAGAACGATACAGACTAGATAGAGCCAAAAGAAATGAAAGTAGGACAAAATATTTTTAGATGGATTTACAAAAATTTTTCCTACTTCCAGATATGCTCAATGCAACGATGCTTTTTTTTAAGTCGTTAAATAACTTTCAACCTTAGTTTTGCCCCCATTTAATAGAAATCGAATGATATGTCTGCATGCGTGTTGTCGCACGAAGCGATTGCTGGACGAGACGCCAGCAATATTGTAGACGCGCTCAAAGCTTTTTTAAACGACCAAAGGAATGTATAGCATTATTACCTTTGGGCATATAATGTTAATTTAATAACGAAACAAATGACATCGAGTCAATAACAATAAATTATTTTACTAAAGGGCACCCTCTTATGGCCGCTGATTCCGTTCATGCAAAAATTAGACGTCAACGTACTCTTATGATTTTGGAGATTTAAAGGATTGCTTGTTGAGATTGAGAAAAATATTAAAATGTTGGAATTTCAACATCGTCATAACTGGCCTAAGAAAAAGAGGGCTGGTCGTGTTGGTGAACCTCTCAAGTTTCAGTTAAAGTTTGTGCATCTGGTCAAATTTGTAGAGTTCAAGAAACCCGTTTTATAAAACCAGTTACAAGACGTTTTAGCAAATAATAATGTAGCATTTTAATTCGTTTCTACGAGATAAAAATTCTAATCAGTTTTTTTTTAATTCAATGTAAATACTTAGTTCATTTTGTTATTCCAGGTTTGACGAAAATTTTCAAGAATACGAATTTTTTTGTGAAAAAAAATCATGTCAATTCTTTTGTCCCCCCGTCGGGACCTTGGGGAGTTAACTAAGCAAAAAAGAGTGATATCATCTCCAAATTAGTACCGTTAACGCCAGCGCCGAGAAAATCTTTTTGATATAATTTATCTATAAATAAGCAATCATTGGATTTGTCTTTTTTTTAGTCAAATGGAAACAATTGATTAAAAACTGTTATTTAAAATGATAAAAGGAACTTAAAGATGATTCTAAAATACCTAATCAATGACACCCCACTTGATATAGTTCATCGACTTCTTTTTTTTTCATTTTGACAATATGGCGTCTGGTTGACGCTGTGGTGAATTTTGAATACTGTCATGTCTTTAGTGACACTCGCAAGGTTAAGATGAATCGATTGATGTAAGAATCATCAAATCAGCCTACGCATTTGGGCTCTAGAACGCCACATAGAAACAAACATACATACATACACAGACTGATAAACACATTACCCTCCTTTACGTCGTGCAGTCAGGTAAAAAATCTGATTGTGTTGTAGACAAATCAACTGAAACTTACTAGATTTTTGTCTGGACAAGCTGATTTTTAACTAATATGTTAAACCAGATCAAAAACCAGTACGAGAACTTACTAAGTTTGAAATGGTTTTGATAGTCAATCTTTACTTGGACGTTTTATTGTTAAAATTATTTTAGCTAGTAAAATTTGGTATGAATCTTAGACAAATAATTTATATATCAAATTAACAGTTTCAAACCACTCCTTCTTGTAAACAATAATTTCTCAAAAGGTATTAAATAGTTTAAATGAGCTGTCCTAAGAAGAGTTTTTTTGCTCTCATGTAAAATTTAGTCAAAAACAGTTACTAGGTTTTAAACTGGGACACCCGATTAGCTGTAAGAAGAAATTTAATAAAATAAGATTTGAGAAAATTATCAACTTGAAAATCTTAGGTTAAGAGCTAGCAATACTTGTCCACAATAAATTAATTACTGATGAAACGCAACTAAGGCTTAATTAAATTTAAGTTTAATTATGTTAATTCAGGCTTAAAATTATCCGTATATCAAACGTTGTGTTCACAATCGTTCGAATTTGGGTTTTGAAAATATTATAATTAATTCGTTTGATATCATAAGTATATAAATAAGTAAGATAATTATCACGTCTCTCTGATAATGATAACACCAAATTACATGATATGGATTTACGATAATTACAAGTACATTATTACAATATAATAAAAAAACTTATTACATCTATATCGAGGTTGTGCCAGAACTCAACGTCAAGCAAAAACGGAGAATAATCAGAAAAAATCTATCCCATGCAGTTTGAAAATTATGTTATTTCTCTATCTGACTTTTATTGCAATAAACTTAAACTAAATTAGGTCAAAATTTTTCGTAATTTTGTTAATTTAACTTACATTTGTTGACTTTGGTAAAACTTGCGTCACTATCTGTCTCGCTCACTCATGGCAAACGTGTCCACTACCCACCGCTCTCGTCATTTTGCTGTAAAATTAAGAACCTACCAAGAGCTTGTGCGAATAAAAATTTTTAACTGAGTAAAATGCGTTAACAAATATCGGGTAACTTGAGGATTAATTTTTTTACTCCTTTTTTTGAGTATGAAACTAACAAGTGTTGTACCATTTTAAAATCCTGGCACTCTAGTACTTTTTTTTTGACGGATATCCTTTGTAAGTCGACAAATTTTGAAATTTTAAGATTCATAGTTTAACAAATAATCTTAATTTTAGGAAATATAGGTAGGTATATGGAAATATTAAGTGAAAAATAATAACAACGCACAACGTTATTTTATGTTTTTTACAGCTAATAATATAAATTTATTTAATTACAACCTTTGTATATTTGTAAATAAAATTAATTTATAGTATTAAATATTAAAAAGGTAATCTCGCTTCCTTTATCAAAACTTTTTATAACTTATATGTGTTACGCTCAAAGATCACGAACGAAAACATAGCTCCCGACGCGTTGTGGTCACAATAAAACAGCAAAATTCGTGTTACACGCTCACAACGCGTTGTGGCAATCAATGAAAGACCACAATGCAAAATTCGTGTCGTGACTGTCATGCTCTTCGACCTCAACGCATTGTGCAATGAAGAAAAGCGATGAAATACATCCACAAATACTTCCGATGAAAATGACCAATATCAAGCATCTCGGTTAGGACTATGGAGGGACTCGACTGTTACAAACGATGTATCACTTGTATTATTTTTATTTTTACCATCGAGACTGTTTTCATCAATATTGTCATCAGAATCAGAATATCATGGGACACGGATATGGAATCGTTCCGATCAAAATATCTATCCTCAGAGTGTTTATTCAAATTGTCATTTTTAGGTACTTCGTGGTCTTTAGATTTGTTACATTTTGAAATGTTTATATAATGATGAATTATTTGATGAACCTCAGCTATTAATTCCTTTTCCATTTTGAAAGAGAAGGAGTTTGAGTTATGGAATATGTTGTATGTTATACAATAAGATTATCGTATTAAGAGTCATTTGTGGGCGATTGGTGCCTGTGTAGATTCAACCCCGTATTACAGGTCACCAGTCACCGAATTAGATAATATGTCGTTTTTCCACAGTTTAAAGGACCACAAGCTAAACACCGAACTAAATTAGTAAGCAAGTTTCCATGTCGAGAAATAATGAAAATGAAATGAAAAAAAAAATGAAAATATCTTTATTTACCTTATCTGATAATAAACTTATTACTAATTACTGGAGTCCCCTTTTAAGTATGACAATGCCCGTACCAGGAGACTTTATGCATTTATTTAATCTATATTTACATTCATTATAAGTTTTTGAGTATTTTTGTATTTCTTTATTATAATTGTTTCAGCGTTTGAACAAATTTTATTCAATTGCAATGTTTTAGATTATTTTATAAATTTCATAGTAGTAAGTAACTATTTCGGGTATTCTAGATAAAGTGAGTCATTATGTACAAATTTGACTATTTATATAAAGTGTGAATAATCAAATAGAATTTAATGGTTTTAAAGACAAAGCTACGTAATCAAAATGAATGTAAGATCCGTTTATTAAATTGGGCATTCTATTTATTCCATGAGTGAGTGGCAGCGAAACGCCGACACGAACGAGTGGGGGATAGAGGAATGGAAGTACAAAAGGTGTATCACTTAGTACCCAGTGCGGAGGTCGGTTGCTGAAACACCTGGTGCAGGCATCTTAACGAGTTTTGAGAAGCATGGTAGAGCTCGAGATAACAAAGTGAGAGAATCCATCCCATAAACGGCCTGTGCGAATATTGCTTAACTTGCTATTACCATCACCGAGTACACTAACAACCGCGCTATCGAGCCTTTTCTATTAAAATCAATAAAGTTTCTTAATGAAAATAAGGTCTTAATTAATTAAAACATTATTTATTATTTTTGAGAAGCCCTCATGTACGTTGTATCATTGACGTCACGCTAATTAAGCATTAGCCAGTATCCATTGAGTGTAACGTGAAACACGAGTATTAACACCAGGGTAGCGAGCTTCAGCACATCCTTGAGCCCACGAGCAGACGCCGACGACGACTCCATTGTGGTAAATTGGACCACCAGAGTCACCCTGGCACGTGTCACGACCACCGACATCGAGCCAGCCAGCGCAAAACATGTTGTCGGTGACCGTGGCGTTTAACTCTGCATAACGAGCTCCGCAAACCGCCTGATTTACGGTCCATATTTGAACGTGTCTCAGTTGCTCTGGTAGTGGTCCCCCAGACTGAAATGATAAAATAGAAAAAAGTTATCAATATCGAATCTACGATACAATACTAATAAATTAATAAAAATATTTTATAATACTTCATTAGCATATAATACATACTTAGTATTTCAATATTTAATATACGATACGATAATAATGAATTTATAACAATATTTTATAAAACTACATTTGTATAATACATGGTTAGCATACTTTTACTTTTTTAAAGTAACTACAAGTTTACATTGGAATAATGTGTGTGTTATATTTTGACTATTAGTATTATCTTATATCAATTTGATTATAGATTGTTTATTAGGAACCATAGTAATAAAAGTAGATATACATATCAATGAATCAGATATTTTTTGTTATGTTACTGATATGATTAAGTAACACAACCATGTATATTATTTTCAAGTAAAGTTCTGCCTCTGTTTAAATTTATTTACTTTAAAAAACTCTATACACATATAAACTCACGTAAAGGCGTCCATATCCAGTAGCCCAAACTACTTCATTGTCCCCTAGGTTATAATTGGTGCCGGGAATGCGTGCTTGTTGGATTACGTTAGTAAAACCAATATTGGTAGAGGTACGAATGATCGAAATATCGTGCTCGTAGGTGACACTGCTGTATTGTGGGTGATTGATGACGTGCGACGTAAGATGTACCACACCACCAATGTTTGGGAAGGTGGATCCTACACGACACCGCCACCTGAATGGTTGGTCACCACTGTTGAAAAAAAATGTTGTTAACCTTCATCTTGACAATTGACAATACCTATATATAATTTACATTACATTATTATTCACTATTAGTAATTTGACACACAACTAAAAACCAGTATTAAAATAACAGATATATGTAATTAGAATAACTATCACCAAAGTGTAGATACAGTCAGTGCCGGTTTTAGCACTACTAGCGCCCTGGGCGAAATTTCTTCGGCGCCCTCTAACTGCAATTCAATTATTATCAGTTACTACTACATACTACAAATCAGTTATTTGTCTTTTTTTTCGCTGACCCGGCCTACTTACTTGTAATTTTCCCTAAATTGAACGTAGTGTTCAATCGGTTTAATTTCTCGGAAATCCTCGACTTTCCGACCATACAGAAACAATGTGTTTTTCTATAATCGGGGATTCCCTAGATCTATCTCTTTTAATTTTTGACGAAGAAGAACACAATCAACAATTATCTTCTTGTTTGACATAAGTGGAGGGTCTTAAAACAATTATTCGATTATTTTAAAACAATCAAACACAGTAATTAAACTATTAACGTTACGTTACGATGCTCTTGTTCCAACTATATAGTGACATTAGTTTTATTTTAAAAGTAGACATATAAGTAGTGTATAATTAGCAGATTCATTTTTGAAGGATCACATCATTAGGTAAGTACAGATTCATTTTTACCCTAACAGGGTGTCACATAATTGTTATCTATAACTTTGTGTAATTGTTGTAACTTTGTGACAGTGAGTTTGCAGTGGGCCACTACTTATTGATCAATTATTTTGCTATTTCGAATAAGTGGACAAGTAGCTGGATCCGCTATATTCGGGACAACAGTATCAACATCATCTAGTACATGTATTTGTTGTACATCTATAATAGATTTATCCTGAGCAGCATCTGTAATCATAGCACAACTTGCTTCCTTACTTCGTGATTTTTCATCCACAATCTCTTGAGTAGCTATTCCATCTGACTTGCCAGACAGAGGCTCCAATGCCGATGTATTCGTTTGTATTGCAGCATTTTAGCTTCAGCTTAACGTTTAAACATGCTGAAACGATAATTTTCTTAAATGACCGAGCGATAATGCCCGCCAATGTACGTCATATTACCTAATAAAATACATATCTTCATATTGGTAATCGATATGTTGTTCTGTTTTACCATAATATAATATTTTTCTTGTTAAGTTTCCTTTCAATTCATGCTGAAAGTGAGGCAACTTGAAAATAAAAAAATATCCTCAAGGTTTTTGATCTTTTTTCGCCGACCCGGTAGGCCTTGTTCAATGAGCAAGGGAACTATAAGAGGGCATTTGTGGGAAATGAGGAAGTATTAGAAAAAAAACATTAGTTCCCGAAATCAAACTAGATGTCGCTACGGTATGTTCTTAATTTCTCCATGACAACCTTTCCAGTTTTCTTTCATGTTTAAAAGTAAATTAGTTTTCAAAACTCAATCAACAACTCATATTCTATTTGTACTATTTCGTATTTGTATTGATATCTAAGTTTCGAACTTTTAAATTTCAGTTTTTAATATGTTAGTTAAAATGAACCGAAATGACTGTCTTTGTTCCATTCGTTTCCTGCAAAAATCAACTTTTGCTAGAGTCGCCATCTAGGTGGAGGTACTTTTGTAATGCTTTCGTTTTTTTTAAATACTTCCTCATTATGCAGAATCAGAAAGAAGCGCCGGACGAAAAAGAAGGGGTGCCGCAGCCCGCGGCGCCCTTTTTCGTCCGGCGCCCCTGGGCGGTCGCCCAACCGCGCCCTACCCTAACGCCGCTACTGGATACAGTAACCCTTCTGCTAGAGGGAAATATCGTCATGCAGGGCTTGCCTCTTAAATCGACTTCTGATATTTCATGGAATACATTGTCGTCTGTCCTGGTTTTATTTAGGTAATTGTTAATACAGTAGAATAGGACAAAGCATTATGAAGTTTTCGATATATTGAAAATTGGTTTTGAGAATACAGCCGCAGATTTTTGCATGAGATCCGCATGGCGATTGTTTGTGTCTGTTAACTGAACTGAAATCTAAATAAATATCTCCTGATCTTTTGAAAAATGACTAACATTGCCTTAATTAATTTGTTTAATTCAAACGTGTTTGTTATACATACATGGTGCAGTGAGCAGCAGTAAGAACGGCTCTGTTGTTAAGGATAACACCACCACAGTTATGCACGTGATTCTCTCCGGTCCAGGACCACATTACTGATACCATATCCGGATATTGGTCGATGGTCGTTAGATCACCACCAACAATCCTCTGGGGATTCTTTGGTGCGGCTGGAATAAATAAAATAAGAAACTGTAAAACCAATCACGGGTTCACAAGTGAATACACAAGTAAAAATAGGAATATAGAATATGTACACTTGTATTATATAATAAGTATTAGAAACCTTCATCGTGTTTTATTACATTTTTAGATGATTTATATTATTTTAATCAATACACCGAAGCTTCGAAATCATTCGACCATAAATTTCTTTAAAAAATGACAAATTACTCTTATATCACAAAAATAATTAATGAGCAATTTTTTCCAATTTGAATGTGACACAAAATGACCGTCATAATAACACACAATCTGACATTGGTTTTGGCTTTCTACTACGAAAAGATAACATAATATGTAATTGCGTTGTTATCATCATCATCATCATCATCATCATCATCAGCCGGAAGACGTCCACTGCTGAACATAGGCCTCCCCCTTTGAACGTTTTTATATTTTGATTAATTTTATCTCTTGAGTAATGGTGTATAAGCAAAAGATTTGCATTCAGAAGACTATGTATATTTTTTTATGTGTTAAATCCAGATGCTGATTTAACGGAACTTGGAAAATACTCACAAATTTCTTATTTTCGTCAGGGTTGTCACTCATTGCATATCAAGATATCGCAAATAATGGTAAAAAAGACACAGATAAAGTCCATTAGCAATAGAGAATCATACACATTCCCTGCCATTCCGTCACACAGCAACAATCAGTAACACATTTTACGACGGTTAAAAAAATATTTATATATGAAGTCAAATGATGATATTAAATCTTACCTGCTGCAAGAGCCAGGACTCCCAAAAGAGCAATTAATACACGCATGATGGCTGTTGTAGGAACTCCACCTAACAGTGGTACTCCTCCACCTCCACCTAGTAGTAGTACACTGGTCTTCGGGCAATGTTGTTTTTATATAAAATTTCTAATCTTATCAAAATAGATTTAATAACCACTTATTATAATTGAGCCACCCGAGACCTTTGGAACTCATGAACATTATAAATAAATATTCGTGTACAAAATGCGTTAAATGAATAAAATATCACATTTTTTATACTTTCAATTAACATGAAAGTGTGTCCATATTTATATTTGATCAATTTTGCATTCAAAATATTAAATACATAATTATAATTACCTGGAAAGAAAAAGCTTTAATTATTGGATTAACTGAAAATACACGTATTATTAGAGATAGATGGTGCGTTACTCTGAATATTTGATGTTTGGTGTACCACTGTACTTTCAATACTGTAGTATTGAAAGTTAAGTGTATTTTTGAACAATCCAATGGTGATGCAAGCGTTTGCACGTTATGGACCAACAGTTGGCAAGATAAGAATCATACGTTTAGAAGTTGAATTCAGATAACTGTATTTCAGAAAAGTCGAAAACAATATCTATAACAATAAATCATCAGTTATCATTATTATTACATATTAGAACAATTACAATCGTATATGATTACAATGATAGAGTATCATGGAATCATAATCTGCTAGTTCTGTTTATATTATTTCGTTAAATACAACTAACATTGGTTCGCAAGCACGCTAGTACGAAACGCTGTTTGCGCGTTATAATAGAGTTCACTCTCGCTAAGATCACCCGCCGCGCCACTTGAGGTCGCCAAGCGAGGACACGCGCCGTCACCTGCCCTGAGATTTTGTAAAAATGACGAATTCACTCAGGTATACGAATTCACTTCAAAAAGCGGCATCCGTTCAATCTGGAATTGGTAATAATGTTTCGTGGGATCAGTGAAGTGAGTTTAGTAATAACAGAAATAGAATACTCGCATCTAAGACACGTATAATCAATCAATTTTTTTTTTATACTACACAAAAGCTGATCCGGCGAACTTCGTACCGTCTTATACCAGTTTAAAAAAAAGAACTTATATACTAAAATTCTCAAAAAGATATTCGTATAATTGGATATCAAACTTCACAAGGTAAGTTCGTTTGATTATACTTTATATCTCTCCCGAAGATGATTAGGGTTTACATGCAGATGTTCAGAGCATCGAATTTTTTTTTTTCAAAATAAAGAAGCGATCTGATTCTCTGCAAAGTTTTATATCTGAATTTCTAAGTCAATATTAATTATTAAAATAAAGTCCCACTTAGATATAAATAGTAGCTTATTTTACTCTAGGCATATATAGTTTATTTTAACATAATATTAAATTATTGTTTGTGTTGTTATAAAACAAAACATTAAATTAAAAATTACTGGACATTGTTATGCTGGTCTAATTTTGTTGTTTATATTTAATGTTGTTAATATTTTAATTTAAAAACCCTCCAAAGAATTGAGATACTACAGATGTTTAATGATATTTATATATGAATAAATTATACCAACTTAGTGTGTGTGTGATTGATTATAAAGAATATTATATTACGGCAACAACGTTTTTCCGGCAAAATTTGAAGTCTGAGTGTTTCGTATCTTCAATTAATTTTTTTTTTTGTATACTTACGAGTTTCCTATAAAATTTTAAAATATTCTAAAATAATTCATTGCACTTTAAAGTACTTCTTATATTAATATCGTGATAGTGACATTTTATATTGTTATGTATTTGGAGTGATTGCCGATAATTTTGGAATAAGATAAAATTTAAATAATTCTTGTATGTTTAAAGATAGACTATCATCTATTATCGTATAAAACTTTAGTAATATCTTGAATTGCAAGAGAAAGAATATTTAATGGATTTTGTATTTATGTATTTTATTTCTATGTTAGCCTTATTTAGAATACTGTTAATAATAAGGTACCTTTGATAGAGTTATGTCGCTCTGGCGGTATCATAAATGATTTCAAAAATGATCTGATCAAGTTATCTAAAGTTATCTAAACTTGATCAGATCATTTTTGAAATCATTTATGATACCGCCAGAGCGACATAACTCTATCAAAGGTACCTTATTATGAAGCCGTATATATAATACTGTACTAGTATTTATTATTTGTTTAACTATGTATTTTTATCTTGTGCCAGGAAAATCGAGTTTGTTGACATAGCCTAATAATGAATATATTGAATTATAGCATTTGCGAATTGTAACAATATAGTCTCAATAAAGGATTCTCTTTTATAATAAAACTTTAGAAGCATTGATATAGTATTAAACAAAGATAACCCACGTTCTCACTAAACTGCTGTAAAGTAAAGCTGCACACATAGACAAGTTGCACCTATAAATCGAACGAAAGAGATGAAACACCCAGCCAGCGCGTAAGTGAAAGAGGTAGGCGTAATTTATCTGGCGCACAGAATAATATTTCCAATCGTAGAGCCGACACTCTACTGAAAATTATGCAAATGCAAAAAAATGAAACATCATAGAAAAGGAAAATAATATTAGTCGGATTGAAAAGCCACTGTGGTTATATTTTTATGATCTTCCAAATAACAGAAACAGAAGCCTTGCCCTTTTAAAATTACTTTTTATATAATATCATATTTTAGATGTATTTGTCCAATTTGCAGCTTTTCTAACGACTTATAATATTTGCCTCGCATCAAAAGCGGCAAATAACGACGCATGTCTAGTACTATGAGCACTAGTTACACTTGAATCGTGTTTGTATCTATACTGTTTTTATCTAAAATCTAACCAGATAAATGTCTCGAGAAATTAATTGTTATCTGATTTGCGATATTTCATAATCACAAGTAGGTAATTTGTTATATCTTTATAAGATTAACACACTGTGCTTGTTTACAGTTGTTTATTTTTTTTATTGAAAAAGGTTTAGGAGTTATAATGAGACTCAAAGTTTGTAATTTGTGTGCTTTGAAGATATCGCATTATTATGAGAACAATTAATTTAACTTAATAATAGGTAGTATGACTTAATAATAGTAGTATAGTATTAGTATTTGCACACAGTAGAGAAAATTTACTTGTTGTCTCTTTACACATTTTATTTTATTTTGTAAATAATAAAAAAAAAGAAACACAACTAATTTAGTAATAATCAATGACATAATTAAATTTCTTTAATTATCTGAGACCATGGCATTATTGTATTTCCGTCAATCCCGCATTCACAATGCTATACTGACATAATCATTATCATTAACAAAATTGTTTAGAAAAAAAAAGGTAGCACCGTTTTAGTTTAATTTGAACAGATACAACAGAATTTCCTTAACTGCTTGGATCCATGTAGTGCTGCATTTTTGAGTTTGATGCACACTTTTATTTTAGAATAGTATGTTATATAAACAATATAGATATCGTTGAATGATTTTGAATGAAATTTAGATGTTACAATTTCTATAAAATGAGCTTAATCAGCATTGCAGCAAACAATATTTTTCTCATTACAAAATTGTCCTAATGGTTTTAAAAATAATCAACTGAAGTGTTTTAATATATTTACAGATATATTTAATGACAATACATATAATGCTAATGGATACCCAGTCACGTGGTGCTGCGCCGCGTGACCGCGGCGGCTGCAGTGGTATCACTGGGGATTGCAAGGAATAGTTGTCGTAACTAACCTTTTGTATCGTTTTCATTCCTTATATTCATATCACTAATTTTGCTCATATCGATAAACTTTTTAGTGTTTTCCATTTATATTCTTTACTTTCTTCATTCTATAACGGTGGACCTTCAATTTTATACCTGTAACCATTAAAATTCTGTAATATAATCTTATCCAAACCTTTATGAACTTTCATCCTATATTTTTTACTACTTACACTAATTTGAACCCTTACCTGTAGCTTTCATAGTATTTCGTTATACATTTTACGAATTCTAATCATATTAAAGCACTTATTTATATAATATTAAACAATTTAGCGCTAATTTTAATTGTTTTGTCAGAATTGACATTGAAATTTTTCTTCGTTGCTATGGTTATATTTGATACTCTTCATGAAAATTAACTAATTGTTTGTCAGTTTTTGGCATTGAAACTCTGTAATTTTTGAATTTTTAGGGTTCTAATTTGAAATCATTTACTTCCAAATTTGAGTTCGTCTTCAGGTATATAAAGCCTCGCCCAAATAGTTCTTGATCACTTCAACGGCAACAGTTGCCCAAGTTAGCTTTTTGAGCTCGTACAGAGCTAGCTAAATTCTTAAAAGAACTCTTCAAAGTTACGGTCTCAAAGTCATATGACACCATTTTGGCTATAATTAAAAAAACACTCACACTTCTACTTCCTTCACCACTTTCAAGATTAGACGGAAATAATCTCTCCTGAAGCGGTCTTCGAGTCTTCATCTGGAGGCCTTAGCTGTTGATTCATTCTGGGCTACAAAAAAACATCTGCTCGACACATTGAGTGACGCGTCGTTAAAGAAGGTGCTCCTGAACTTCGCCGTTGACCCACGGCCCATCACCAGAAGCCTACCGTTAACGACAACAATTTCTACGTTGGCGGAACACAACTTCACCGCTGCCCTCCGGCCCATCACCTTAACACCTACGCTGACGACGGATCTACGCTGACGCAACAGACTTCACCGCTGACCCACGCCCCTTCACCAGATCACCTACACTGACACTCTCACTCTCACTATAACACTTCTCACCTCACCAGTCACCTCGTCCCTTTTATTTTTTTTATTTAATTTAATTTATCATCTTTTAGTTTTTTTATTCTTGTTTCATAAAATAGTGAATTCCCATCTTTAGGCAACCACTGCATGCGACGCCCCCTGCTGTTTAGAATGTAAGACCCAAGTAATTGAATATACCTACGGCGATTTTTGTACTTACGCATAGGTGAAATTTTCTGCGGGTAGTTAGATATCGTTTCACGATACTCGTGTTTCTTATATTTTCACATGCTTGACTACTAAATAAATGCACTTTTAAAAGGTTCATAGTACCTGTATTGTTTATTTATTCAGACGTTTAGGCGATCATACATAATCTGAATGTGAATTTAAATTTAATTTAGATATTCGTACT